TAGATAGAACTTGCAAATGAGACCACTGTTTTCAAATGGGGAATACAGATTAAGATGGTGAGTCTGTCATTAACTCTAGGTAAGATTCTAAAATGAGTTCTTTAGTGGAACTCTGTAAAAACCTAAAAAGGAAACCAGCAATGTGCAAGAACATCCTGGATACACCCAGTCATCATTTCAGAACACTACTTCCTTTATTTCTCTAATGAGCTGTTTGGATGGGTGATAGAGGATGGGTTTATCCACTGGTAAATGACACCAAATTCAGGGAACTAGAAACCTGCTATCAGGATCAAGATCCTGAGAGATGAGGGCAAGTGGCTTAAGTCACTAAGAATTCACATTCCCCTATTTCAGCAATGGCGAACCTATTAGGGACTGAGGGCCCAAAATGCAACCCAAACCCCACTTATTTATTGCAAAGTGCCAACAATGCAATTAGACCTGAATATTGAGGTTTTGGTTTAGTAAAAACAATTCATACACTAACATCTTTTGTCTTCAAATAAAAATACAGTAACAGAGCTTTCAACAATACAAACGGCTTTTTATTGAAAGGTAAAAATTTGCATTTGGTGTGCTTTTGTACAATTAATGTGATCTTTGCTGTTGTATGCATGTTGATAATTTGTCAAATCTTGGCTCAGGCAATTTGGCTCTCACCAACAGAGAGAACTTTGTGCACCCGCTTCGGCATACATGCCATAAGTTTGCCACCACTGGCCTATTTATTTTCTTTCTCAGGTAAGATAGGGGATAAAGTAATAGAAGCCAAGCTCAGTAAATAGTAGAAGGTATCAAACTTAGAGAAATAACAGATGTGTATGTATCAGGATCCAAAACTGAGTAAAGGATAAACCAATAGTTTAAATTCAATGAAATAATATTCAAAACATATTATTAAGATATTATAATTTAAATTTCTAATGGATAATGGATTTCTTTTGGGGTTATGGAAGTGTTCTGGAACTAGACAATGATGATTTGTGTACAACATTGTAAATGTGCTAAAACCACTAAGCCACCCATTTTAAAATAATAAAATTGGTAAATTTTATGTTATTTGAATTTTATCTCAGTATAATCACAAAATATGCATTTTAATATGTATAAATCAGGTTGTGTAAGACATTTTGATATCCTCAAATATTTAATACTAATACTATTAGGGGTTTCACAGTACTGTCAAGTTCTGGGTACAATGCAAGTAAGGAGTGGACTAACATATTCTGAAAAGTGAAGTTCTAGGGCTGGGAATTTAGCTCAGTGGTTCCACCACCTGTCCCGCAAGCGCAAGGACTGAGTTCAATCCCCTAGTACCAAAAAAAAACACAAAACAGTGAAGTTCTGCAATTAAGAATTATTCATTTTTTCAATCATAATTTACTACATACATACTTATTTGGTACCAGCACTAGGTTAGATGCTATGGATACAAAGGTGAATACAAAATAACCCTAGCAGGGCTTCCAGTTAAGAAGGGGAGTTGGACATTTAAAAAGTATCACTCAAATCAATACAATAATTATAATCAGAGAAATAAAAGAAAAATGCAAGGTTACAGGATAAACCATAACAACCAGGTCTGGTTTAGATAAGTGAGTTTGATATAGCCTCTCCAAGGAAATCTCGATGAGATATTTAGTGAGAAAAGAAGGAAAATTGGTGTTGCCAGACACTATAGACGGAACAGCAGTGCAAAAGTCCTGCTGTAGGAGAAACTCACTAAAGACAGCTGTGATTAGAGGGTACTGAGTAACAAGAAAATGGTCACAAAATGGGGCTAGAAAAGTAGGACAGGGTCAGGACACAGGCCCCGATGGGCCTCTGCGGGGATTCTCACTTTAGATAAGCCACTCAAGAATTTTAGTAGAGAAGAGGATCGATTTGTGTCATAAAACATCACTTGGGCTTCTCAATGGAAAAGGGATTAAAGAGCAAAACAACAAATTAGGAGACCAGTTAGGAGGCTCTTAGAGCAATGGCTCAGACTAGGGAGCGGAGGTAGCAGTGAAGAAAAGACCTTTTCAAGGTATGTTTTGGAAATTACCACAAGTTCTGCTTTAAAACTCCAATTCACACGTGTGGGGGAAAACGCTTTCCATGAAAAATACAGATTGCTTGCCCAGGATCTCAGATATGTTAACATCAACTCAGTACCAAACCAAATCCTACAACTTCAAGCTACTTTTAGGAGTTCTGAAGTCTTTCTGTATAATAGTTCTTCAACTCAAATTATTCCTAAGCCCCCTGCAGAACAATTTCTCACTAGCAAGGTTTTGGAGTGGTAAAGAAATCCACACAGTGAAAAATAAACCTAAAAGTTCACTGTGATGAGTACAGGCAGTGTCTGGTATCCTCATTCCAGCCTACCACAAACTAGCCTGCCCCCAAAATAGGTTTCCTGCTAGAAACCATTCTGGGAGAGAAGCACCCTGCTCAGCATATGCTCTATTAAGGCATCTAATAAGGTACACTTTTACACACACACACACACGAAAAAAGATATGTGCAAAAAGCATTCCAAATTATTCATGTGCATGTGTCTCCTTACACTGTACCCCAGAGAGTGAAGCAGGCACAGAGGCTGTTATGGTTATTCCATATCTTTCTAAGCGTAAATGAGTAACCCGAATTGTGACAGGAAAGCAAAGACACATTATACATGTACATATTTCTTTTTTTCCCTAAAATTAAACCATGCCACCCCCATATTTACCGTGGGTCAGATAAACAAACCGTGTACATTCCTTACAAACCCAAGACATGAAACTAAAGTTTAAGAAAATCTGTCTACTCTTTTCCCCAATATAAAGCAAATAAGAAAAATGAATATCCCCACTTAAAACTACATTTTACAACATATGCTCTGAAAGTAGTCTGATTCTTTGTATTTAGATGATGAAAATTAATGTTTGACTTAAGAATTTAAAATAAAAGCAGGGTATTTTTAACTTCAAAGAATCATTGATTTTTATCACTGTTATCATTTTCAGCTTCTCTGTGGTTGTAATTATTTGTTACAATATATATTTACACGCTGCCTCAAATTTGCCTGGGCCGCGGATTCATGTTGATTCTCAGCTCTTGTAGAAGGCCCCTCCTCTACCTCCTTATGCTCTAGCCATTCTTTATCTCCACCCGCTGTACCTTGTACCTATCTCTTATCATGCAATGACTTACTTAAAACCTTTCCTGCTATTTGGTGTTTTCAGCACTTAACACAGAGCCTAGCACATGAAAGACTGTCAAACACGGGTGGAATGGAATGAACAAATGATTTTCATCCATCTAACCTGCACAGTTGTTTTCCCTACCGTATCCTAAATGTTAAATGCCCCTCAGTTCAATAACACTTCCATACCCACCCTCCCCTACCATTTTTTTTCCATTTCTGGATAGAAAGAATTTGTGATTTCAAACACCACACTGCTAATAAAGTGTTTATGGAAACCAATTTTAAGAATAAATGAGATTGTTTGTTGCTAAGATTTACACATCCCAGGGTGAGATGGAACGTGGGCTGGAAACCATCTACTCCCTAAATTCATGCTCCATAAGACAATGACATTGAGAGCTATTTCACCCATCATTCTAGTTATTAACATTCATATCAGATACAATCTGTATAAAGGGCCTTCTTTATCATAAAAGAGGAAAAGATGCTTCTGGCAAGAGCAGAGGGTGTCCATGAGTTAAATTCATCATTCTGGGGTAAATTATTTAGTACATTAAACCCTGAAAGCTTTGAGCCACCTACCTTGTGGTTTATGGCTCTGTCTTCTAAGTTTACAATTTCCTGATTGTGAAGCAACTATTTTAATTCCACAGTGAAAAATCAATACAATTTAAATTTACTGTGTAAAACGACATTCTCCAGCAAACTAAACGATTTATTCTTCTACCTAACATGATATAATTTGAGGGGCTTTTATAAAGTGGTACTCAGGAACTATTCCAGAATTTAGGAATAAATTCTTCTTGCTGGGTGGAAAGCAGAACAATTGGCTTTTTCTTCCCATGAAATGAGTGGTATCCCTGAGGCCACCTGAGCTCCGTCCCTTCAGATACAGCTCTGACCTAACCTGGTTAGGAGCCTAGATTTTGAATACATGATCATCCTGGAAATAAGAACAGCTATGGTGGTAGTAATAAGAGAGCGAACAGGATTTTAAAATGCATTCTTTTGCTAGTTTAGGATCTTAATCAGACAGGAATGATGATCACTCTTTTTATTCTAAATTATATTCCCGGTACAACTAGGAGTAGGAAGTTTGGTTATAACAGCAAATGTTTCCGGTGCTATTTTATTGGATGATCAGAAACAAGTCCCTTCCGTTGAGTAGTAAAAGCTGATGTTTAAAACACACCAGCTGATGAATGTATAAACTGCATCCTTCTCTCCAAAGAACTAAACACACTGGAAAAGATCAGAAAGACACAACATCATCAGACCTACAGCAAATATTGATCATGGGCTCTGTGGAAGGTCCCTTGTGGCTGCAAGCCTGAGAATGGAGAAAGGTAAGGATGAGTTGGTCAGTCTGAGCCTGGATTCAGTAAGCTTCCAAGTGCATTCAATCCTGTGTATAACTCACACCGAAAGGCCCGTCTCCCTTCGAACTGCTCAGAAATGACAACGTCTTAAAAAAAAAAAAAATCAAAAAGCATAATGACAGACCAGAAAGAAACGTTTATCAGCAGCTTGGTACTCAGTAGATACCTGGAATTCCCTCTCGTCCACCCTGGGTCCACTGTGCACCTCCAAGGACAAGAGGTTAGACCCAGGAGCAGCTAAAGCTGGGCCTAGGAGACGCAAGAGGAAGACCAACCTCCCAGCGAGCTGCGAGATGCTCAGGCGCAGCCCGCTCCACCCTCGCTCGCAGTCCAGCCTCAGCCGGCTCCCAGCGGGGCAGTCACGCCTCGCCTCGCCTTCCGTGAGTTCAGCATCCTCCCCCTCCTCCTCCTCTCCCTCCTCCGCCCGCGCCAGTGCCACCAACCTTGGGCGTGCGGATGTGCTCCATGGCGGGCCCGCATCTGCACTGTTCCAGGCGGGCGCAGCCTCACGCCCTGCACCTGCGCGCGCGTGCAGCAGGGCCGGACGGGCGCGGGGAGGGGGCTGCGCGGGGAGGGGGCTGCGCGGGGACCCGGCGAGCCGCGAGCTTGGCTCCGCCCCCAGGTGCGCCGTGCGCGCGCCGGCCGGGCTGGGGACACGGGGCGCCTGCGCAGTCCAGAGCGCGGCCCGCCCTTCCTTCCACCTGCAGCGCCAGCTGCGGCCCCACCTGGCCTCTGGCTGGGGGTCTCCCAGGCAAGCGTCGCTAGCTTTTCTTTCAAGAAAAGGACCGGAAAGCCCCACGCCAGTATTCCCAGCTACTCAGGAGGCTGAGGCAGGAGGATCGCTTGAGTCTTGAGCCCGGGAGCTCAATACCTGCTTGGGCAACAAAGCGGGACCCCGTCAAAAACAAAAAAAAAGTATGAAACAGGGGTAGGGGCAGCCAGAGTAATACTGTGAAGCTACGGTTCCCCAAGACACAATGAGACCCTTGTGTTGGGTGTGGCCCTTTGGAAGAGAAATAAGGACTTCGCCGCTCCACACCCTCACTGACGTCCTCCGGTGCCTTCCGGGGGCCGGTGGGGACCTGGTAGGGCAGAGAACACAGCCGCTCGAACTCTGGGTACAGCATGGCTTCCTCGGCCCTGTCTGTATTTTGGCACGGGCTCAGCTGCCATGGCATTTGGGATAAGAGTGGAAATAATAGCAACAGTGTTCGCAGCCTACCAGTGAGTTATTAAATCAGGCATTTCACATCAACCTGTGATTCACTGGTGGAAGTGTTGCATTGCAAGAGCTGCTTTTCCCTTGGCACTGCTGGGTGCTCGTTTGCCATCTTTCCCTCACCCTGACTGAACTGGAAGCTAAGGATAGTGCACATCCCTTATGAGGTACCATTAAGCCGGTGGGAAAAGCCAAAGGGAAGAAATGTCCACCTTTTTTTTTTCTTGCAGCCCTGAGTCTACAGTGCTCTACCATGCCTATAATTTCATTGATGTGGGCCTAATTCTTGGGATACTGTTTAGTTTGTTCTTGGCTCTTATTCCTCTTTCTGATGGGACTGTACATTCTTTCACCTTAGGGAAAGATTTTTAACCCTTTTTGTTCAATGCCTGCTAGGCACATTTCATCCTCAAAAAATTACTGAATTTATTTATTTTACTTATTTATTTATTTTTGTACCAGGGATCGAACTTGGGTCCTTGCACTTGCGGGGCAGGCGGCAGAACCACTGAGCTAAATCCCTGGCCCTGAATTTATTTATTGAATTTATTTTTAAAATTTCCAGTTCCTCATTACACATACCATTTCATTCTCTCACTCTGGGAGGCAGTTAGAACAAGTACAGTAAAAGGCCATTTGCAGATAACAAGATTGACCCAATGTATAATTTATTCTTTACTAAAGAACACCAATTTTATACTTTTTTTAAAATGAGGTCACACTATGTTGCCCAAGCTGGTCCCAACTCACATATCCTCAGTCTCTTCATTTATAAAATGAGAAAGTCACCTGCCGAGATGATCTTAAAGATAGCTTCCATCTCCAAATTCCATCTTACATGATGTGAGAATCTTATATGTTTTGGGAGAGGGCATTCTGAGTGGGATGAGTTTGGAATTATGTGCTTTCAGGGCTCTTCGATACCTCTCCTAGAAAACTAATCAAGAGTCTACTTGAGCAATTATTGCATACAAATATTAGCATAGGTTAAAAGGAAAAACAGGAAGAGAAGAGAAGAGATGTGAGTGGGCGATTTAAGTAGCTTAACACCAAGAAAAAATATTCATAGATTAATTTAAAATATGTTAATCATAGCTATAAAATCAACATTAGACTAAAATGAATCAAGAATTATAATCCAATAAATTAACAAATTATGAAAATAAAAGGAAAGAAATTTCTATAAAAATTTTTGTTTGATCTAAGTTTTCTGAGGACTTGTTCTCAACTCATCCCACAGCCATTACCACAATGGAGGTTCTGGATATCAAATTATTTGACCCTTAGTGGCCACTTTGACCTGTTGGTACTTACACTGCCATATGTCCCCCAAGGTTCCCTACTTCTCCTAGCCACCACCTAACAGGGCAGAAGAGATTGAAAAATAAGCAGCAAGAATCAAAGGGATGTAAGTTTAGGGAATATAGATATAACATTTATATTATCTTTCTATATAATGTATATTATGTATAACTAGACATAATTACATATTATGATATGCATTACAATTACCTTAAAATATATTCATCCTAAATTGGGGAAAAGCAAAATAACCATTTATTCACTCAAGAAATATTGTCATTATTTAACTATTGGTCATACTTGGGTGTTATGGCAAATACTAAGAGATAAAAGGGAGACTCAGATGAGAAGTATACTAAATTCTGTAAATGTGATATGGGTAGCAACAAGGAAACGATGTGGAAATGCCGAAGGAACCCTCAGGAAGAATCTACTTCCTACATATTCCCTGTTACTTAGAAAAAAAAATCCATGGGTAGGCTTGGGATAAGATACTTAGTTCTTAAAGTTTTGTGTTTTTTTGTTTTTTTGTTTTTTGTACCAGGGATCAAACTCAGGACCCTGAGCCTGCAAGGCAGGTGGCGGAACCACTGAGCCAAACCTCCAGGCCATTTCTTAAAGTTTTATATCTGGTGTGTCTACAATGAACCATAGGCCATTTGGATGAATATTGCCTTTCTAAATCTTCACCAAACAGAAATCTCTCCATCTGGCTCCAGTCTAGAAGTGAGAAGAGGAGACAAAAGCTTATTCTTCCAACTCCATATAATTTTCAGATGAATCCACACTCAGATTTACACTAAATCTACTCTATCCTCAATGGGTTAGAAAGTGGCTGTACTTTTCTAGTATTTGTGAGTCCTACATGGAAAGTTAAGTATATGTCAACAAAACTGTTCAGCATCAAGCAAAATGGCATTAAGACCCGTTCACTTGTGTATTCACTGAAGTATAGCCCTTGCCAAGGCACATCCTGATTGTCCTCATTTTTTTTTTTTTTTTTTGGTACCGGGATTGAACTTGGGTCCTTGCGCCTGCAAGACAGGCAGCGGAATCGCTGAGCTAAATGCCCGGCCCTGTGATTGTCATTTTATCTTTACTGCCTAATGTCTTTGCCCTTGAGATGCTAGATATTACTGTGTACCTTAATATTTAATTCTCCTGTTCTTCATGGGCACACAGGAGACTGCACTTGTAAATCCCCTGATGGGTAGAGCCATATGATTATAGCCAATGGACTATGAGAAGTGGCTTGTGTCATTTCTAGGCCAGACTCGTGCATAGACTCTTTGTGGCTCTTCAGCTTTCAATTCCTCCAGCTTGATGATCTGTAATTCACATGTTGAGATTAAAAAGAAAATAATGATAGTGAGTCTACTCTGAAGATAGAAAGTCTCTGTGACCCAACTACACAGCATTAGGCCAAAATGAGATGAAAAATAGACTGTATCCTTGAGTCATTATTAAAACAGCCACTGCAGACTCTTTGAGTGGGAAGAGCAAGTGTTGCTGTTGTTGCTTGAATCCACTGAGATTTCAAGTTTACTTCATTATTCCTGCCTTATCTAGCCTATACTGACTTTATAAGAAGAGGAATTTGAGAATCAAAATAATATATTTTCTGTACCTTTTGTGTTTCTGCTTTTTTACAGGGGTTAATGTCTCTAAAGAGCTCTAAGGACACTTGCCATATGCAAGTTCTAAACTGCTTTATGTACATTATTATACATTTTCTAGAGAACATCTGAAGAAAATTTCATCAAATAGATATCCCACTTGCAAATAATATTGCTAGAGGAATTTTTAAATAAAAACTTGATACTAACTGGGAACTTTCCCAAAATACAGTCATCTTAGTGGCCTGAAGAGTTTTGGAAACTTATCAAACACTTGCAAAACTTTTTCCAGAATACTTACATTTCTCTAGAGGAAACTCAAACTTCTGATCTAGCGGTAAAGCCAAGAAGTGTTTCCTCAGGGGCTAGTATTGCTAATGATTACAAACTCAGTAAAATCCTAGTCAGCACTATTGAACCCTATATTATGTGAGGAGGAGGGCGCAAGTCTCCAACCAAGCCCAGTCTCAGCCCAAAATGTCTTTGATACCAGTATGACAGAGTCAGAGATGCATTTGAGGTTCTGACTAGTTTTTTTTTTTTTTAAAAAAAAAGCAGACCCTCACCTTCAGGATTTTTGTTAACTCAATGATGCAAAAATACTGAAGTCTTCTTTGGCTTTCCCTGTACCAAAGATTTAGAGAAAAAAAACACTCAGTGGATTATACACAGCTCTGCCATTTTTCCAGAAAACAAAACTTAAACAAAAAAGAAACTATAGGACAGCCAAAAAGACCACTTACTCTGAACAGGCAGGGTTTTTAAATAGTCTCCTTTATTTTGTTCTCCATCCAGGAAGACTCTGCTCCAGCCCAAGTCTGAGTCCTCAGGCCACTTAATGTTGTTTATTCTGTTTCTACTCCCCTCCCTTCCAGCATCACTTTGATGCAGGTGTTTCCTACAGTGATATTTCCAGTCTTGAATTCTTTCCCATCTACCTGCTAAATACTTCCACTTGGATGTCCCATAAATCATATACATCACAAACCACATGACCTCTGGAGGCAGACAAGCTTATATTCAAATCACAAGTCCTGGGATGGATTAGCTGTGATGTTAACAAGGTTCTCTACTCTCAGCCTTTTCACCTGTAAAATGGGATCGTGATAATGCTTAATGTCTGTATTTCCTAAAATTTGCATATTGAAATCCTACCCACCCACGATGGCAATGGTATTAGGAGATGAGACCTTTGTGAGGACAGACCTTTAAGATTCTTAATCTCCCCTCATGAGTAGGATTAGGGGCCATGAGAGACCCCCTTAGTCCTCCCACCATGGGCTTATAGTGACAAGACAGCAGTTTTGAACCAGGAAGCAGGACTTCACAGACAATGAATTAGCCAGTGCCTTCACCTTGCACTTCCTAGCCTCCAGAGCTGAGAGAAATCAATTTATGTTTTTTGTAAGCCACTCAATAACCGAATACATGATT